TGTGACCTCTGGAGAGACCACAAGCCAAAAACACAATTTTTCGTACAATCAGGGGCCATAATTCAGGAAGTTACGATCCGATATGCGTGAATATCGAAAGGAACCAAGATCTTTGAGTTATAAACATGCATTTCAAGTTTCGTCAAAATCAGATCAAAATTGTGACCTCTAGAGTGTCCACAAGCTAAAAAGGCGATTTTTCGGACAATCAGGGGCCATAATCCATGAAGTTACGGTCTGATACATACCAATATCGAAAGGAACCAAGATAAACCTATATTTCTTGTTTCGTTGAAACTCGAATAAAAATTGTGACTTGTAGAGTGTCCACAAACAAACAGGGGCGACGACAATATATGTCGCACATGAAGCATCATAATAAAATCTATTCTCAGACATCCTTCAATAATGGCATTTTTCCGTTTCTCGTAATTTCACGCGTCTCGCGAGATGTCTACATTTAGTTTTCAGTTAAATTAACCAATCATACTATACTGCGTTGTTTTATTCTATTTTTAGTAACATGGCACATTTCCGTTTCTCGTAATTTTACGCATTTTGCGAGATGTCTACTTTTAGTTTTCAGTTAAATTAACCAATCATACTATACTGCGTTGTTTTATTCTATTTTTAGTAACATATTTTATAAACACGTGTGATTAAAAACAGAGTCTGCATTGTCTTATAGTTATCGGATATATTGAAATAAAATCAAATGAATCAAGACCACAACTTGGAATATTAAACAAGTTAGTCCTACATTTATAAACTGATTGTTTTATCGTAGGCCTAATTATTATGAGCCAATTTTTCTTGGCGTACACCGGCACAGTATTATATTACACTAGGATAACAGTCCCGAAACTCGATAATAGATTGCTACTGTGGAGTTGACAAACATTCATCTTATATATGAATGGAGGTCGGAAAAACAGTAAAATATGACAATTCGACTTATACTCCACATCGACATATGCCCCGTAAAATATGGTAGCTGAAAACCACCGTTATTTCTGAACTCTATTCCATCAAACGATTATGAAAAGATATAAATTATACCTCAATTTATATATTTTATGCATTTGACTTTTTACAGAAAAAATGCGGACATGATTGAAGTTCAAGGTCAACGCTGCCATCACTATCTTAGGTTAAATCTTGTTTACGTTTCCTGGTGTTATTCTGCGAGTTGTTCAAGTACTTGGCATGATTACCTCAATTAAGTTGTTTATTTATGAAATAAGCCGAAGGTATTCATTGTAATGATTGACTCTTTGATGGGTTTCTTAATCGACGAGTACTAATTAACTCTTTGTAATCAGCCGAAAGTAGATTGATTTATGATACGTGGCCGGTTCATTGTTTTACCAATCGGCCTGATAATTAATTCTTTGTAAATCGGCCGAAAGTAGATTGCTTCGTGATAATTTAGTGGCCGGTTCATTGTTTTACCAATCGGCTAGATTAAAGATCAAACGGCTAAAGCCGACAAAAAACGGCCGATTAAGATCCGTGTTACAGACTGTATGTGAACAATCGAGGACTTGTGGGCTTGACACTCATTGTGGTCTCTAACCTGTAAATAACTACATTTTTGTCCCTCGTTGACCACACATGGGAAAAAATACAATATAACCGTTTATAATTGATTGTGCGGTGCAATATCGCGATAGAACAGGTTTTTTTTTTATTAATGTGGCCAATACTGACAAATGAGGACTTCGTGTATAGTAAACACCAACAACCGAGTACACACATACTCTCATCCGAGGACGTTATAAGTGTATATCAATAATATAAAATGGCTGGGTTCAACATTCTATATCTGAGAACAGGCCCCCTTTGACCACAATAGTAGCTTACTGAAATAATTTTTCTTAAAACATCTAATTTTCGAAACCAATATAAGTGAGGTCTTACAGTCTGTATGTGAACAATCGATAACTCGCACGCAATTGAATACATGGGAAAAATTATTTCTGGGAATCCGGATCTCCAATATGTGATCCCAAACTTTACATTGTGGCAGCAACATAATTCATCATCAGCATTACCATTAACATTATCATCGTCATCATCAGTTTGTAATGGTCTGAAAACGATTGGAGAAGTAGAAGAAAGGATGGGGGCGGTGGATGAGGGTACTAGAGCGGGAGCCTAGGGGGTTAACCTAGCTGAAAAGTGTACCAATTTTCTCCTATATGGTATCAATGCATGTATATCTTGTATCATCAGAATGTAAGTCTGCCGGGTTTCTGGTGGTGGGTGTAGTATTCCACGCCCAAAATGCCATGCCCCCCAACTAGGCTAGATTAGCTCAAAAGTGTACCACATGAAAATCGTACAGCAGTGTACCGTACATCTTCAGGTGTTACAAAAACACTATAACAGACATTTCTAGTGGTGGGTTACCCCTGACAGAGCTATGTAATTGTCAGACATTTGTAGTGGTTGAGTATCCCTGACAAGAGTTTTCTAATTTCCAGACTGCAGCTAGGCTAGATTAGTTGAAATCTGTACCACCTATATGAAAGATATATTCGCATGGAAGTATTTATAGGGTAGTTATTTCCAATAAAAGTATGGCAAATTTAGTACACATGGAAAGTAGAGACGCCCAATCTTACTAGAAAAATACTGGATGGGGCAGGCAGTAGGCAGGGATGTCAGGGTATTACTCACTGTCTGCCAGATTGACTTAGGAAGCTGCTATTATTTAATCAACCAGTTAAGTGGTTTTGGGAACATTGAGGAGTTTAAACATACAATAGATCCTGCAATCAAATGGCGGAAAAATAATTTGGCAGAGGATAATCAAAGAATTTACTTAGGCTTCAAAACCCAGTCTTTCATATTGAGTTCTTTAATACAATTTAGAAAAGTGCAGATCACTAACTATATTTCGCAAACTATATTTCCCCACTGTGGAAAATCATCGGCAATAAGGAAATCAACAAATTTGCTCCAGATGGGTCCCGATGTTTTTGCCCATAGAAACAGAGTAGTGCCATGAGAAATTTAAATTATTAAGCATCGGGCGTGGTTGGGTGAGTGTGCACTGATGCTTCGGCTATGGTCACAAACTTCTGGCAATGCCCCCGAGCAATAGCCGTGAATCATTGAGGATGGCTCCCAATTATTGGTAAAGCTCCGGGGTACCTTCGCCGATAATCAACATCATCGGGTGAATTTTCATATCGGGAGATCTCAGTATCTTGCTTGGTTACAACTAGGTATTTTTTGCGTTGATGATATACTACCGATGGAAATTGATGATCCCCAGGAGGCGCCAGGAACAGGTTCTCCAGTGTGCAGGGAAAGCTTTGATGTGTTCCCGACGTTTTGTTGGGAAAACTGGCCGGGAAGGCATCCCGGCAGCTTTCCAGGTCCACATTGAAGCTCCGGAGATGCTTCCCTGGAGCAGTAAAGCTTCAGCGAAACATTTTTTTCCCGAAACTTCGGTGATCCCTCGGGAAGCTTCGGGTTTGTCATGTGCCCTATGGAACCATCGAGAGGCCTCAGAATAACTGCGAATAATTCTGAAGCTTGTATTGAAAATTTTTCCAATGTTTTCCCTGACGGAGAATCTCCCGGGATGCTTCACTGTTCCCTGAAGCTCCCGCAAAATACTTTTTCCCCTAGCCATCCCCGATTTAAATATCCTTGGTACCTCAGCAAGACATTGCGGATGCTTCGGTAATGCCCTGAGGAAACAAATATTTCGAAATGAAGAGTTAAAATAAGGGGCACAACTGAATGTTATGTGAAACCATTGGCTCTGATCATGACATAAGTGGCGAACATTTCTGACCGGTGGCGTCTCGCGTGAAAAAACAAAACGTGTGTGTTTCATTATGACTATTCTGTTTAATTACAGTTCTAGGCCCAAACACGCATTGCAAAGAATACAGTGATATGGATTATTTTTATGACTTCTTCTTACAAGTGAAGTACCGATAATTGCGCGATAATCGATATTTTAAAACTGTATCGATAACTGATTTTCAAAACGCTTACCGATGATTATCGGCAATATCGATATTTTCCGCCAGCCCTACAATACAATGGACCAAATTAGCCATTTTTTATAATTTTACAATGAATTCTTATAGAAACAACCACAAAAACATTGTTAACATTCAGAAACGGTGAATATGCCTAGTTTCTAAGAATAATCAACACGTCAATTTGTTGAAATTTGTTCCAAGCTACATTTAAACCCTTGGTGGGCTGGATCTCGCCTGTGGGACGCATGTTTGACACCCCTGCTCTAGATCATTCACAAGATTTTTCAAAGTGATCAAGGGCCATAACTCTGGACAGTAATTATAAATCGTTAAAAATCAATAGACTTCTTCGTATCATGACCTTAAACACTGGTTATAAATTTAAAGTCAATCAGATATTAACTTTAGCCTGTAGAGCGTCCACAAGATTTTACAAACTGATCAAGGGAAATAACTCTGGCAGTTTTAATCGGAAATGCTGGAAATCAATAGCCTTCTTCGTCTCATAACTCAAACGCTTTTACGGGGATAAGGACATTAATGTCGTTTTCCAACACATGCACTTTACAATGATAACAACATTAATGTTGTTTTACCGTAAGTCACCAAAGTAACAATGTACACCACTGACTGTATAAGATAATTCTATTTTTATCGACTAATTGGCAAAAGAAATACATGATCTAATTTATAAGAACAGTAACTCTTATATTGTTTTGATTTGAAGTCGAAACTTATCGTTACTAAGTAATAACACAAACGGACGGACGCGAACCCCCATAAGTTTCCTCGCCGTAATGCGTTAACGAAGTTGTTAAGTTTATAAATATTTCTGATGAAGACATTTGTTCATCTGATAGTGGCAGTGACATCGTTGTTACTGAACTTTCTGAATATGAGTCAGATTCCAGTGAAATAAGTGAATCAGGAAGAGAACGAGATGTAAACAAACGACTAATGAAATATAGTACCAGGAATAATAATTTGACTTACACTAAATGTTGCTTGATAGTTCTTAATGCTTTAAAATGACCATTGTGTCTTTCAAGTAAGCCATGATAGTCAGACTGTTTTGATTCAAGCTAAAATATAAGAAACAAAAACACTAGTTGCCAGGAAACAGAACATCAGCTCTGATAAATCAATCAAATAAGGTAGACTAGGAATAGGCTCCTTTATTGAGACTCTTGATAAATCTGTTATGATTCCAAAATTTGAATTTTTTTGCTGATAAATAATGTGTTTATATACAATCAGAAAAATGCTTATTTATGTGTATTTGGGTTTAAAAATGTATTATGTAAGAATTAAATCTGCATATTGCATGTCTATTTTTGGAATCAAATGTTATATAAATTAACAACACCTCCAATAAATATAACGCCAAGTTAACTACACGTTAAAGTTAACGGGGCTTCCAGCAACAACCTTTCTCTCTGTTAAAGTTAATGATCCGTTAACTCCATGTTAACGGATCGTTAAAAGATAACAGAGCTTTGAGCAACCGGCCCGAGGTCCCTCAATGCGATTTTTTAGAATACCATTTCTGCGCATGTGCAGACAGACATTAAATCTGTTATGATTCCAAAATTTGAATTTTTTTGCTGATAAATAATGTGTTTATATACAATCAGAAAAATGCTTATTTATGTGTATTTGGGTTTAAAAATGTATTATGTAAGAACTAAATCTGCATATTGCATGTCTATTTTTGGAATCAAATGTTATATAAATTAGTATTTAGGTATTGATTCACATGACAAACCTACAATCAACTCTCGAGACTAGTGATGGGTCGATAATCGGTTTTAATATCGGTAATTGGCCGATAAGTGGCCTATCGGGAGAAATCGGTATCGACCGATCTGCGCCAATTTTGCCGATATCTGTTCAAAACGACATAAGATAACACAAGACTCTCAAGGCATAACACAAGACTCTCATAGGGGCCGTAAACGGGATAGAATAAACAGTACAAAATCCTTACCAATCTCCGATATCTAAATAGCCACGCGCACAGCGACCGAAATAAAACTTTTATTTCAGTTGCCACGTGCTTTGCTATTTAGACTTACCAGTAATACAAGACTCTCATGGGGACAGTAGTAAAAGTAAAGAATAAGCAGTAGAAAATCCTTACCGGTCTCCGTTATTTTTTAAATCCTTATTCACATACTGTTTAGCTCTGGGGCCGATTGCTCAAAACTAAGTTATTTTAACGATCCGTTAGAGTTTAACAGATCGTTATCTTGGTAACTTGTCGTTTGTTAACAGTCCGTTAAATTTCTGTTGCTGGAAAGTCAATTTCATGATCCGTTAGCTAACGGATTTATTAAAGTTAATCCAAGAGAATACTGTTTGTTCATTGGCTGAATTTTAAATTTTTGAATTCAATGTACATGTATATCAATTTCATAGAAGTTAGTATTAACAAGAAACTGAAGACAGTGAGACAAAAAGATAACTAGAATTTACTACAGAAAACACCATAGAATACTTTATTTTTTCCTTTAGAAATTTTAGCATAAATCTGTAGGAAAAATTATGGGATTTGCACTACAGAATTATGGGGCCATTATTTCCTACAGGCCACCAAAATTCTGTAAAATAGTATAGAATTTCATCCTATAGAAAATGGAATAGGCCCGCATCGCCCAACCCTCTAGAATGTTCTATAGAAAATTACATAGGTACAATATAATCTATGACTTTTTGCTACAGCCAACTAATGTCATCATTAAACAGATAACGGAGACCAACACCTCCAATAAATATAACGCCAAGTTTACTACACGTTAAAGTTAACGGGGCTTCCAGCAACAACCTTTCTCTCTGTTAAAGTTAATGATCCGTTAACTCCATGTTAACGGATCGTTAAAAGATAACAGAGCTTTGAGCAACCGGCCCCAGGTTCCTCAATGCGATTTTTTAGAATACCATTTCTGCGCATGTGCAGACAGACATTAACGTGCAACAATTCCACCCGATAAAACTTTTGATTGGAATATGGAATACGCCATGAATAAGCCAATTGCTTGATGATCAAAATCATAGAATTGGAGAACACAGTCAGTACGTCGTGGAGGTCCCCCTTCGATTTATTTTCAATGTGTACTGATATTACAAGATCACAAACTAGAACAATACCTAATTAGGCTATTGAATATTTTATTTAGATTTATTAACTGTGAAATAAACAATGGTAGTCGTATTTGTCTATCACGATAAAGAATAAAGTATCTATTAATCCTGTTTTATCAGTTTGTCTTTTAAAGATAATTATTCATACACCCACTAAAAGTTTAATCTGGCGTAATATCCACAAATTGTTAGGAGCATTTCAGCCTTGATGGGATCCAATCTGTTCCGTTTCTTGTACAAATCACCTGCCTCGCTAAACAGCCTTTCACTGGGTACACTAGAGGGAGGGGCACACAAATATTTCAAAGCTAACTTGGTCAGTAGCGGATAGCGATGAAGATTAATCTTCCAAAATGTCAATGGCTCATCCGTTCTTCCTAGTGTCGGTTCTGTGGAATAGTGGGCCAGTTCATTCTTAATACTAATAGCCTTGTGTGACATCTGATGGGCATCTTTTTCCTTAACAAACTGATCAAACTCCTCATCGAGTAATGATTTTGTTGACGTTGATGGTTTGGGACTTTCTTGTAGTTCTTTCCGCTTCCTCCATGTCTCCGTCTTCCGTCAACAATTGTGTTACCCTCTTCTCTGTGTCGTCTGCTTTGAAAAACAATGCCTTATATCTTGGGTCTAAATACGTTGAAATAACAAGAAGTTTGTTATTCTCCACACCTTCGTATCTGGTATTTAACGATTTAAGTAGGTCCCCAGTTAGGGTCTGTATGCCCCTATCATCTGTATGTTTAACAAAAGATCTCGGTAGCATATAAACGGATGGAATAATAATTGATGTGGATGATCCAACTTCTGATGCTTGTCTCGTTAATTCCTCGAATTTCTGCAGTGTTGTTATAAGAGTACCAGCTAATCTCCACTGATTTGCTGTGGCTTGAGGTATATCGTATGAACTTGCGTAATCAACTATAGCGGTCTTCTGCTCCAGCATTCTTTTCAGCATGTAGAAGGAACTATTCCACTTGGTTTGTACATCTTGAATGATCACGTGATTGGGCAACAGCGTTTTACTTGCAGTTATTTAAGTCAGTAACTTGCTAGCGGCGAATGTTTAAAATGTCCCGCAACCTTTCTAAAAACTGCAAGCATGTCTATTACGGTTCGTTGGGAAAAGATACCATCTTTAATGGAGTGTGTGAATAAAACAACCTTGATGAATGATCCCTGTCAAATCGACACCTGCTACCGCATTTCTGGCATTGTCCCTCAGGATTGTTACTACTTGATCCTTGTTGATAGATCACATATCCAACATCCTTGAAATTTCCCCACTTATGGCTTCTTTTGTATGACTTCCTTCAAACAAGGAAGCATTCAGTATGGCATGTATCCTTGAAAACTCCTTGTCGATCCAGTGGGCTGTGAGGCTCAAAAGCGAATTAGATCCAACACTTGAGGACCAAATGTCTGTCGTCAGACTAATATGTTTGACATCTGTTAGTTCCTCTTTGATTTTAGACTTCAGTTTGTCATACAAAGCCGGAATCATCTGTCGGCTGATATTGTGTCTTTCTGGGGGTTTCTAACGTGGTTCTAGAGTTGCAGAATATCTACAGAAACCAACATCTTCTACGATTGAAAATGGCTGAAGATCTATCGTCATCATCTCAAGCAATTTACTGTTCGCATGTTGCGTCCGGCAATCCGTCTTTGACTAGGGAGTAACCTTGTCTACCATTTCTGTAATCTGTATTTGGTGAAGCTTCTTGGCTTGCTTCGCGGTTGACACAGACGTACTATCTTCTTCTGCGACCTATCTTTTTGACATTTCTGCCTCTTTTTGTGCTGCTTGGAATTCCGCAAATTCTATCCCATGGTTCGTGCGTAGATGGCTCATCATATTTGATGTAATGTAATTCTTTACGTTGGTACCACCTCGTGAAATTGAAGCGTCGCAAGTCTTACATTTAGCCTTACTTGGATCACTATGGCTAATCGTAAAATAGTTAAAAAATTTTGCTACTTCGCGGCATTTTCTTTTCTTAGTTTCATTTACTTCACTGCTGGTATTGTCTGCACGCTATCATAATGAGTAGGAGTTTTGGAAAAGGCGGGAAAATATCACATACTTTACCTGTGATTTTGATGAAGAATGAAAGGGTGGATATCCCTTTGATGTCACATGATTACAGTCAGGAATTCCGGTTTGTAGATGCCGATAAATATTTAGAAATAATTTAGCAATTTCTATTGTTATGTAAATATAACAGGACAATATATACATATTAGCGTTAAACTTTATAATCGTTAATTAAATTAGATTATAAAGTATAAGTAATTAAGGGATATCTCTGGTTGGTCAGCATTAACAAAGTATTGTTGTGTACATGTATATATTGTCCTGTTATATTTTCATATTTTATCATTGCTTGATAATGACTCGAGAAGCCTAGTTGAAACGTCGCTCAGTAATAAGCAGTAATTGTACTCCATAAAACTGTGACCTGTATACTCCAGTTCAATTACTAAATGCCATTGAAACAGTTTACATTGTATGCAAGTTTGAACCAAATTCCTTCAGAGGGGAATAACTCCAGAACAAATGTTGTTAAAGGCTCTCAAGGTTTGCAATCACCTCAATTAAAAGCAGAGTTATGTTCCAAAGTCTTGACCAATCAAATTGCTTATCGCTCCTTTGCCTAAGCAGAAAATTCGCACCTCTGAACTTAGTCAAGGTAATGATATATATAATGCATCTATATTCGGAGTTTCATCGCTCTTACTTCATTATAACCAAAGTTATCATGCCCCAAAGCATCAACCAATTAGATTGCTTATCTCTGCTTACCTTAAGCAGACAATGTTCATCATCAAACTCCATCAAGGTATTAACCTGATGAACACCTACATCAAGTTTGAACATTCCAATTCAATTAGAAGGAGAGTTATTGTGTTCCAAAGTCTCGACCAGTCAAATTGCTTATTG